GGCGTCGCGGACGGACCGAAAGACGGGCATACGGAAGGCGCGGGCACCGGAGCCGCCGTCGGGGCACGCGTCGGCGAGAACGTGGGAGCAGCCGTGCTAGGCGCCGGCAGCGATGGTGCAGCTGTCGTCGGGGCCGGTGACGGAGAGGACGACGGCGAAGCAGTCGTCGGCGTCGCGGATGGACCGAAAGACGGGCATACGGAAGGCGCGGGCACCGGAGCCGCCGTCGGGGCACGCGTCGGCGAGAACGTGGGAGCAGCCGTGCTAGGCGCCGGCAGCGATGGTGCAGCTGTCGTCGGGGCCGGTGACGGAGAGGACGACGGCGAAGCAGTCGTCGGCGTCGCGGACGGACCGAAAGACGGGCATACGGAAGGCGCGGGCACCGGAGCTGCCGTCGGGGCACGCGTCGGCGAGAACGTGGGAGCAGCCGTGCTAGGCGCCGGCAGCGATGGTGCAGCTGTCGTCGGGGCCGGTGACGGAGAGGACGACGGCGAAGCAGTCGTCGGCGTCGCGGATGGACCGAAAGACGGGCATACGGAAGGCGCGGGCACCGGAGCCGCCGTCGGGGCACGCGTCGGCGAGAACGTGGGAGCAGCCGTGCTAGGCGCCGGCAGCGATGGTGCAGCTGTCGTCGGGGCCGGTGACGGAGAGGACGACGGCGAAGCAGTCGTCGGCGTCGCGGACGGACCGAAAGACGGGCATACGGAAGGCGCGGGCACCGGAGCTGCCGTCGGGGCCCGCGTCGGCGAGAACGTGGGAGCAGCCGTGCTAGGCGCCGGCAGCGATGGTGCAGCTGTCGTCGGGGCCGGTGACGGAGAGGACGACGGCGAAGCAGTCGTCGGCGTCGCGGATGGACCGAAAGACGGGCATACGGAAGGCGCGGGCACCGGAGCCGCCGTCGGGGCACGCGTCGGCGAGAACGTGGGAGCAGCCGTGCTAGGCGCCGGCAGCGATGGTGCAGCTGTCGTCGGGGCCGGTGACGGAGAGGACGACGGCGAAGCAGTCGTCGGCGTCGCGGACGGACCGAAAGACGGGCATACGGAAGGCGCGGGCACCGGAGCTGCCGTCGGGGCCCGCGTCGGCGAGAACGTGGGAGCAGCCGTGCTAGGCGCCGGCAGCGATGGTGCAGCTGTCGTCGGGGCCGGTGACGGAGAGGACGACGGCGAAGCAGTCGTCGGGGTCGCGGACGGAGAGGGCGACGGGACCGAAGATGGTCTCGGTGTCGGCGATGATGTTGGTTCTCCAGAAGGTAAAAACGAGGGAACTGTTGTCGGTACAGGCCAAGGTAGGGCTGTGGGGCCTAGCGACGGACTCGAGGACGGTGTCACTGTCGGTGATAGTGTCGGCTGGGAGACGGACA